TCACAGCGCGGGGTCACTTTCTACACCAGACGACGACTTTATGGGAAAAATGAGTGTTGGATACGTTTTCTTGTTGCGAGTCTTAGTGTAGAGTCATTACAATAGGAGGAATGCTGTTAATATACTGTATACATTAGGATATTTTTCTGACTATTAAACACTCGAGTGTATTTCATATGAAGAATAATCACCTTATCCCACCTAACCCCAGGAAGCGTTAGGGTGGTTAATCTTCAGATGAAATAAACTAGGGCGTCAAGTCTTCAGTTCCATACTACTGTAGAAGGGGAAGATAAGGTGTTGAAATGTATACAGTAGCTAGTGTATGGTAAGTAGGAAGTAGTAGAGTATATAGGAGTTGATCTAAACACACACACACAGAGTTGAAATACTAATCTACCTGAAATTGATGTAGTCCCCTTGTTTAACAAAAAAAATTCATTCCAACCTAACCCAGTTACAAGGTGTGGTGTATGTACTTGTACTGTATACTCAAAGCTGTGTAATATTAGTTTTAAGTGAAGTGTTAGTATGAGCGTAATTAGGCTAGTGAAGTGTTAGTTTAAGTGAGGTTTGATCATCAGTTTGTGCAAGAGAAGTGTTGGATGTGTGTTGAGTCTCTCTCTCTCAGAAAATATAGTTCACGACAGGAGCGTTTATTATTGATCATCTATTCTAGTGGAGGTATCGTGACTAAATATTGTTGTATTTATGTAAGTTTGAACCTGTCTGTCTATGTCTGTACCTGTAATCTTATCTCTTATCATAGGAATCCTGTAATCTAGTGTGATCTAGCCTTGCTTATCCTCTATCTAGAAAGGAAATACTTCTAATTTGTAAACTTGAGAATTTTGTAATGTGATTTACTCTCCTTACTTGTCTAGAGAAAGTAAGGAGTCTAGAGTCTAGGTTGTGTTTATTATTGTTCTAGAGTACTGTTGTGTTAGGGAGTAGTTTAGTATACGATGAAGGAAGGACTCAAGTACAGCGGTTCATAAAATGGCCGGCCGCTGGGATCTAGCTTAGCTTGCCTTCTTACCCTGCCTCTGTGTGTGTCTCAGTTCCTTTTGTTTACCTGTGGATCCAAGATGAGACACACACACACACACACACACTGTATCGTCTATATTGCGAGTAATTACTATTTTTTTCTTCCTATCATGTTCCAATTTGGCGGGCTGGTATGGTCATCGTGAGGTCATTGGGAGCAGTGATAGTCGTTTTGTAGGGTTGTGATTTGTAAGATTGTTGGGGGTCACTTCAATGGTGTACTAATGTGGGTAGGTGATATAAACTATTGTTTCTGGTAATGGTCTGTTGTTGGCATTTCACGGTTTTGTTTGAGATTACAGTATTATTATAAACAGTAGGGTCGCCGGTATACGATTTGATTGGGTTTTAGGGAAATTGGCTTCGGAATATGTTGGTTTGGTGTGTATTACCTTGTGGTATTGAACAGCTGTGAGTTGTAGTTGAGAGAGTGTGTGTGTGTTTTGGTGTGTAAGGCTGTGGTGTCGTAGTTGTGAGGAAGTATTATTGTCAGGTGTGTATTGACATTTGTTTTGAACTGCCATAAGTCGTGCTTTGAGGAATGTGTATGCGCGCGTGTGCCAGGTGAATTTGGTCATTATGTTCCTTTTAACTCTCAAATTATAGTTTTGAGGAAATATATTTGTTAGGTGCGTGTTAACAGTGGTTCCGATTGTCGGTTGGTCAAAGTTATGATTGGATGTTTATTAACGCAAGTATAGGATGTATGTAACAGGATTTTTAGCCCGAGTGGCATTATTTTTTTGTCTTTATGAGTTAAAGATTGTGATCAGCTAAACACGCAAACAGTGTGTGTGTGTGTAATGGTGTTTGTTTTAGCTGTTGGAGTATAGCTTATTTTATTTAAGGGATCAGCTGTTTGATTACCAGTTAGAACCTGTTTTATTATTGTATTCATAGTATATAATTATTGTGACGTTTCTTTGGATATTCCAAGTAATTGTTATTATTTTTTTAGGAGGAATTTACTGTTATTCTGTATTGTTTACTATTTTTTGTGAAATTTTATTATTATGGTTGTTTTTTTTTGTTATTATTCACTTGTAACTGGAAACGTAATATAGCTATCATCCTGTCTATTTGTGCTGTAACCATATATTTTAGGTATATAATGAATAGACCGTTGAGGGGTTAGGTTAGGTCAGGTCAAGGTCATAATCGTTCTCATGACCCCGTGTGGATTTTAAGATTTTAATTAGTCCTTTTTTCTGGAATTTTGGTTGTATGTCAGTGCTTTTCCCTATCTTTAAAATTATATTGTTATTTTTTATTGCATTCGTAATATATTTGAGCTTATTTGGAGTTGTAAAAAGCAGTTTTTTTTTAGTTGTTCGTAGTAAAGAGCGTTGGTTATTTTATTTTAATTTTTAATCAATCATGAAGTACGTTTTTATATATATGTTTTTACTACGCATCATAATTTAGGTGAGGGATATTGTCGTCTGCCGTGGCGTGTGTGTGTCTTTGTGAGTGTGGGTGTATTGACCTCAAATTCGATTACTGTGTTGATATTACAGTAAGTAGTAGTACTGGTTGTTTAAATATACTGTACTGTTGTATTATTTTAAGTATGTGGCGTGTTCTTGTTGGATTTATTTGTTGATTGTTATTATTTATTATTATTATAGTTGTTTGAAGAAGTATATAGTGTTGTTGGCAGTTGTGGTCTCGTGGATGATAATTGCCCGCACTTGATAATAATGTTGAAAGGACTGTATTAGCTATATAGTGTTGTTGGCAATGTTATTGTGAAATATTACTGACAGCTCACTGCCATACAGTTGGCAGTCGACTTAGGGTACAACCATTTTGTTGGCATTGCTGGTGAATTACTGTCAACATTTCTGTAGCTTCTTAAGAACTGTATTTATGGGTGATGTTAAGAATAGTATTGTTATGGGTACTTATTGTTTTATGTATTGTAATAAGGAAAATAAGATTATAAGTATTGTGTTTTGAAATTTTTTGTTGGTAGTTGTTTTAATTAAGAATGTATTATTTGTTGTGTTGATTTAAAACAGGGGTTCCCAAGCATGTTTTAGTACGACCCCGTCTAGTATTGTGGCCTATCCAGTGCGACCCCCAAGTCATTACATACGCTGTACGAGGATCTTGAGAGTAAATACGGACATAATGATATACGTATTTAACTAAAAAAACAAGTAAGGAAAATGTATAACTTAATTGAGAAGTCTAAAAAAACACCGGCAGAAACAGGCTACAACTCTGTCATGTTTAATATGTGACGTGTTGTTTTGATCATTTAATGTTCTGTACCTGGGGATATAATTACAGGGTTCAGCAACATATCATACAATTTTCTATGCCATGCAGTACGTATTACGTATGTGACATGTGTGCATCAGCTTATAATTAATTTTCAATACAAGTTACATGTCATAATTCATATGTAACGTGTGTGTATTATCATTAAAAGAAATTATGTTAACTGGGGGGTATAATTATGTGATTAAACAGCATAACAGACAATTTTCTAAGTTTAAGTTTGATATGCGTTTACGGTAATATTTTTTTAATTTACACTACTGACAGGAAAGCTGCCTCACAGACATAGGAGCTTCCAAATTGCATCAGAATCTTGATAGTTTAATTTTTACCTGTTGAAGATCAATTTGATAAATAACTCAAAACATTGATGTCATCATAGATGGTAAATTCACCCTTGCCTCGTTATCATCCTGTAATTCTGGTATTTCGAGGACAAAAGAGCCACACTGTTTTATGTGTCTTGAACAGAAACTGAACAAAATCCAAAGACTCAGTAAGCAACTCAGGGAATCTTATCATTGAAATTTGCTGCCATTTTTTTTTGGGTAACGTATTCCCAGCGTCTGCCTTAACACAAGGAGAGTAGCTGCATTATTGTTGGCAGTAGGTCACTCAGGCCTTACGGAGGGAATGTTGGCAGGTGTCCTAATTAGTCGACATCTGTATTTTATAATATATATATATATATATATATATATATATATATATATATATATATATATATATATATATATATATGAACCAGGTATTGTATATAATGGCTAGAGGATATTTATTAAGTTCACTATTTTCTAAGTTATAATAGCAGTCTTTCTCTTACTGTGATATAGTGTTGGAAATACTCTATATAACATTTTTCGTGTTGCTTCAAGTCTAGAATATCGATGGTAATATTTTCCTCGGTAGCGCCAGTTTTTGAATCGTGATTTTATTTCAATGGGATGCTTGTTGATTACTTTGCGTCCCCCTCTCCCCCAAGGTTAAGAATCACTGACCTACATTAATGACGATGACTCAAATGAAGGTTGTTGGCCGTGTGTGTGTGTGTGTGTGGGATAACTGAGCCAAGACCTGTTATCTTGTTGGTGGCTCGTTGGCAGCCGGTACTGAACACGTCGTGAACAAGTCTCTCGCTCCCTCACCACCACCATAGTTTACGAACCTTAATATTATTGTTCTTAACAGTTTTGTTTATTTTCTGGAATAAATTTATTAATTCATACACTTGAGTTTTTTCGCTCTGTCCTGAAAGTGGAAAGTCACAGACATATAAATACAGTAATTATCGGGTGAGTGTTTATCAAGGTCAGTATTAGTTACCCCTCTCCCCATGAGAGAAAACGGAAGTTGTTCTGTTGACAAACAGATAATGTCAATCACTATTGTGTGCACCTGGTTATTGATGGTACAGTAGCTGTTAGTAGAGTAGTAAGACAACCCTGCTACGTTGTACACTTAATAATAGTACAATAGCTGTTGGACAGACCTATACTGTGAACGTGAACGGGATTCGAACCCACTTCAACAAGCACCCTCTGCTGTAGTGTGATGCTAATTTATATAATAATATGCTTTTAACGCCTCGTATCTTATATAATTTTAAAATACAGTAATTCATTTAACACGAGTGCTGTTAAAATGCACTTGATATCGAAAAGTTTCAGCGCGAATGGGATTCGAACCCATGAAGGCAGAGCCCATTAGATTTTCAGTCTAACTCCTTAACCACTCGGACACCGCGCCCTTCTCAAAAAAACATAAAAATTCCATTTATAGGAAACGTATGTTTGTGCTAAGATATACAGCAGTATGGTTATTTTAATACTATATATACTGCATTTATTTTCTCTCTCTCAGGACGTTGTTTTATAAATTATTTAGTTTTGTTTTATTTCTATATATATATATGTTTTATTTACTTAGTACTGCTTTTTTTATTTGTATGGTTTTAAAGTTCTGAATTGTTTATTGCATTTTGGAGACCAATTTGTTTCGTCTTATATATAATAATTTAATAATTTATTCTACAAGTATATGGCTATAGTATACGGTAGCATTTTAACGAATAGTAATTTATATATATCCTGTAATGTGTATGAATTTATATTTAGTTGAATTAATATGAACTGTTTCTAACGTTTGTTTTCTCCCTTCCACAGGTAAGAGGATGAAGCAGTATAGGGGTGTGTGTGTCAGGTAGGAGGTGTCTTAATTAAAGGTGTGAGTGGAAGGTACCCCTCTCTCTTTCTTTCGCCCCCGCCCTCTCCTTCCTTCCTCCCTCCCTCCTCCTCCTCCTCCTCCTCCTCCCTCCTCCTCCTTCCTTCCTCCTCCCTTTCCTCCCTCCCTTCCTCCCTCCTTCCCCCTCCTTTCCTTCCTCCTCCTCCCTCCTCCTCCTCCCTCCCTTTCCTCCCTTTCCTCCCTTTCCTCCCTCCCTCCCTCCTCCTTTCCCTCCCTCCCTTTCCCCTCCCTTCTCTGCTAATACTCACCTGCCTGTACAGTATATATTCTACCTGTAACTACAATATACTGTACAGGTGTTAAATAATTTATAAGGTGTGTGTGTGTGTGGCAGAACCTTGACGACGGTGGTGAATTCCCTGACTCACCCTCACTCCCTCCACCACCACAACGTTCCTCCCTCCCTCACATGATGACTGGCAGAAGCGTGTAACCGAGCGTCCTATAGTCTGGGAAGGTGTGACTGTTGAATGGTTGTGACCGGGTGGAGACACACACACACACACGTAGATATATAATGGATTGCCTGATAGATTTATATTGGGAAGGTTAGATAGATTTATTTAGGTAGATAGATAAATAGATTGATAGATAGATGGATGGATAAAGTTAGACATACTGACATCAAGAGGGTGAAGTAGACACAGACATTTGCCCCAGACAGACAGGAAGAATTTCAGTATTTGTCAGCGGAAGGGACCTAAATATATTTGTTGTCTGTTGGTGTCTGGCTATATGGTGTTGAGACCGTTAGTCTCTGGGCTTGAGTGTCGATCGTGAACTAATGCTCAAGGTTGTCTTAGTAACATCCTCCTCTTCTCTTCCTCCTCTCTTCCTCTCCTCCTCCTCCTCTTCTTCTCCGCCTCCTCCAGACCTTCATCACCCCTCACCCCCCTTCCCTCACCTCACCTCCACTTCCTCCTCAATTCTTCCCACCTCAACCACTACCTTCCCCTCCTCCCTCCCCTTTCTTCCCTCCTCATTCCCTTTATTTCTCTCACTTCCCCTTCTTCCTCCATCTTCTTCCAACACGAAAAGGAGGAGGTGGGGGTTGTTGCTCTGGATTCATTCTGCATTAATTATATGTTGTGGTGGTAGTAGTGGTGGTGGGTCATGGTAGTAGTGGTGTCATGGTAGTAAGTAGTGGTGGTGGGTCGGTAGTAGGTGGTGGGGTCGGTAGTAGTGGTGTGTCGTGGTAGTAGTGGTGGTAGGTTGTGGTGGCAGTGGGTTGTAGTAGTAGTGGGGTTGGGTAGTAGTGGTGGTGGGGAGCTGTGGTGGTGGTAGTGGTGGCGGGCTGTGGTAGTTTCAGAGGCGTGTGGTGGTGGTGGTAGTAGTAGTAGTAGTAGAAGTGATATGCGTTGTAGTAATGGTGGTGGTTGTTAGTGGTAGGTGGTGATAGTAGTAGGGGGATGATGGTAGTGGTGTTTGGTGGTGGTCGCCTGGACAACCATTGTTTAGGGGAAAATGGTGAAGAATGACACTAAAGTATGCAACTTTTTGTGTGTGAGAATGAGTGAGTGGACATGTATGTATGTGTGTGTACGGGCAACTACATACGCACTAAAATGTACACACAGGTATCAAGTCTTCACCAAACCGTATGACAACGCACTCACATGCACTCACACGCACACATACAAAGGCCTCATTGATTTTAAGGCGACAGGAACGTGGTGACTGATTCAGGCAAGTGGAGTCAATCCCTCCTCCTCCCTCCAGGTAAAGGGGGGGTAAAAGATTATTAAGATGTTGGGTAGAAAAATACGGGAGGATAAATAGCGTGGATGAATAGGAAGAGAGAGAGGAGAGAGAGAGGTGGGTAGCAGTCTCTCTCTCTCTCTCTCTCTCTCTCGGGCCGAAGTACCCTGAGGGGTCTCTTTGTGGCTCTCTGTTGTAGGTCCCAGAGCCTCCGTCCAGCCTCGCACACACACACACACACACACACACACACACACACAACTTTGCCTCCCTCCCCTCCTCCCTCCTGTCTGTCTGTCTGTCTGTCTCTTATTATATTGTACTAATTAGCGGAATGGTCAAATTGTCCCAGCCGTAACAGCAACTAACCTAACCAGTCCTTGTATTACCAGATGATTGTGTTAACAAACTAGAGGAATAAACAATATAGACAGGCATTAATTGACACTAACAACTGTACTGGTGTCTCTTCCCCCAAAAAAAAAAAAATCAAAACAAAAACAACTCGTCCTCAAAGCAAAAAAAAACAACAAAAAAAGACAAGGATCAATGGTAGTGTTATTTTAATTGACGTACGTGACTGCTTGCTTGGCCTGCCTTTAAAACGCCACTGTAAACAAAGCGAGGTGAGAGAGAGAGAGAGAGAGAGAGAGAGAGAGAGAGAGAGAGGGCCTGGTCATTTTTTTTAAGCCGTATTTGGTAGAGTTCTCCTCCCCCTTGATTGATCTTAACCTCCTCCCCCTACCCTCCCCATCATTCTCTTCCTCCCCCTCCATCATTTCCTCACACCACCATCTACCCTTTACCTTCCTCCTGCCCTTCCTTCCTTTCCTCCTCCTTTCTCCTCTTCCTCCTCCTTTCTCCCTTCTCCTCCCTCCTTTCCCCTTCTCCTCCTCCTCCTCTTCCTCCCCATCCTCCCTCCTCTGATCGATCCCTCTTCCCTCCTCCCTTCTCCCTCCCTCCTCCTTCTCCCTTCTCCCTCCTCCCTTCTCTCCCTCCCTCCCTTCTTCCCTCCTTCTCCCTCTCTCCCCCTTTCCAGTCTATTAGTTTACAAGATAATGGCTTGGTGTTGGGGAGGTGAGGAGGTGGTGGAGGTAGGAGGGAGTGGTGGGAGGTAGTGGAGGAGATGTGGTGGAGGTTGGGGAGGGAGGTGGGGAGGGTTGAGGGAGGTGTGGGTGGAGGTAGTGGGAGGAGGTGTGGTGGAGGTAGGGTGAGGGAGATGGGGAGGTAGTGAGGAGATGGGTGGGGTTGGGGAGGGGAGGTGGGAGGTAGTGAGGAGATGTGGTAGGGGAAGAGGAGATGGGGAGGTAGTGAGGAGGTGGTGGAGGGGAGGGAGGTGGTGGAGTGGAGGAGGTGGGGGTGAGGGAGGTGTGGGTGGAGGTAGTGAGGAGATGGTGGAGGGGGTGGGAGGGAGGGGAGGGAGATGTGGTGAGGTGGGTGGGAGGTGGAGGTGAGGGAGGTGGTGGAGGTAGTGAGGAGATGTGGGAGGTAGGAGAGATGTGGTGGGGTTGTGAGGAGGTGTGGTGGGAGGTGGTGAGGAGATGGTGGAGGTAGGAGGGAGGTGTGGTGGAGGTTGGGGAGGTGGTGGGAGGTGGGGAGGGGAGGTGGGGGAGGGGAGGGAGGAGGGTGGGAGATAGAGGGAGGTGGTGGAGGTTGGGGAGGGAGTGTGGGGAGGTAGGGGAGGAGGTGTGATGGGAGGTTGGGGAGGGAGGTGTGGGTGGGGAGGTAGTGAGGGAGGTGTGGGGAGGTAGGAGGGAGGTGTGTGGGATGGGGAGGGGAGGTGTGGGGAGGGAGGAGGGAGGTGGAGGTAGGGGAGGGAGGGAGGGGAGGGGAGGTGTGGGTGGGAGGTGGAGGAGGTGTGGTGGAGGTTGTGAGGGAGGTGTGGAGGTAGTGAGGGAGATGTGGTGGAGGTGTAGTGAGAGTGTGGGTGGAGGTTGTGAGGGGAGGTGGTGGAGGTAGTGAGGGAGTGGTGGGAGGTAGTGAGAGAGGGGAGGTGAGGGAGGTGGTGGAGGTAGTGGAGGGAGATGTGGTGGAGGTAGGAGGGGAGGTGTGGTGGAGGTAGTGGGGGGAGGTGGGTGGAGGGAGGAGGGAGGTGGGGAGGTAGGAGGGAGGTGGTGGAGGTAGGAGGGAGGTGTGGTGGAGGTTAGAGGGGAGGTGTGGTGGAGGTAGTGAGGGGAGGGGAGGTGTGAGGGGAGATGTTGAGGTGGTGAGGGGAAGTGTGGTGGAGGTGGGGGGGGTCACTTGCCTGGAGTGTGTGGCCTGGGAGATAAAAGCGAGATAGGGGAGTCGTGTCTTGTGAGATAACACTGGTGGTGGTGGTAGAGGGGGGGTGGGGGGGGTGGTGGTGCTGGTGGAGAGGAGTGGTGGTGGTGTGAGAGGTTAGTGGTGGTGGTGCTGGTGATGGGTTAGTGGTGGTGGTGCTGGTGGCAGAGGTTAGGGTGTGGTAGAGGTTGGTGGTGGTGGTGGTAGAGGTTAGTGGTGGTGGTGCTGGTGGTAGATGTTAGTGGTGGTGGTGGTAGAGGTTAGGTGGTGGTGGTGCTGGTGGTAGAGGTGGTGGTGGTGCTGGTGGTAGAGGTTAGGTGGTGGTGGTAGAGGTTAGTGGTGGTGCTGGTAGATGTTAGTGGTGGTGTGCTGGTGGTAGAGGTGTGTGGTGTGGTGGTAGAGGTTAGGTGGTGGTGGTAGAGGTTAGTGGTGCTGGTGGGTAGAGGTTAGGTGGTGGTGTGCTGGTGGTAGAGGTTAGTGGTGGTGTGCTGGTAGTGAGGTTAGTGGTGCTGGTGGTAGAGGTTAGTGGTGGTGGTGGTGGTGGT